AAGTAGGTGGATGGAATTAAATTAGAAAAATGAAAGCCAGTATCTCCAAAAAATATTTTAAGTTCAGATATCGTTTTTAGAACTATATGCTTGACTGTATTATTTCAATTTATAGTATTCCAGAGGTAGTTTCAGTTCTTAAGTGCAAAAAGGCGTTGGTAGTGATTTCGAACAGATGTGAAAGAATCTTTTCAAAAAGAGTTATAAACTCGATATCTTTTCACTTACTATATCATTTACACTACTGTAATTAAAGATTAATTACATTTGTCAATATATTTGAAGTGAAGAATGTGTTGAAGACCCTTAGAATCGTTTATAATTCTTATCAGTGCAATAAGCTTATACATCTGGACTTCGGAAAATTAATCCTGGTTTATGAACTAGGATTTTTAAATTAAATTGTTTTAAATTTTTTTTTAAAATTTTAATATTATTTTTAATTTTGTATATAAACTGTTTCATGACTGTAGGCATATATATTCGAAAATTAGATTTTAAGTATTAGACTTTACAAAATTAAATAGAAGTATGTTAATATATATGTTTTTATTCAAAATTGACTTCACTAAAGGTTCAGTATACAATTAAGAAAAAATTCTTTAAAAATAATATTATATCAAATCAGTAGTTACTTTAAAAATGGGTTAGAATCGTATTTGATCACTCCTTATTCAACGGTTTTATATATTTTTAGCTGTTTTTGTATTTTTATCTATTTTGTTAGATTCATTGTAGTCTCATATCTGTTATTTCTTTTAATCACTGTTTACTTTGATTTAAAAACAATTCTGCTGACATTAACGCGATTTACTCAAAAACTAATAGACTAGATTATCGATAACGAGAAATACAGAATAAAACAAAGATGCAATTCCAGAGACTATTTTTTCTATATCAATTTCGAAGGACAAAACAAATAAAGAGATAGATTTATCTGAGCTCGATTCGTCATGTTGTAATAATCTCGGAGGTTTGTGTATTACATTTTAAAACTATATTGACAATTGTATATTCGTCACTCATAGGTTCAGTTAGGCTGGTATTGAACCTTACGTTATTTATAGAGTAAGCAAATTAACAGTACACGTTATTTTATTGAAGATGATCTAACGCCTCTAAAGCTGAAGCAAATATTATTAAGATTCTTAAATTACTTGAAGATTTTGGCCTACTTTTAATATGTCGACATAAAGAAGTAGTTGAAATTGGATAAAATACTGTGATTTAGCCTAATTAATTTTCAACCAGTCTCTTAGATTTGAATACGGATAAGGTTATACTTATTACTATACAATTTCATAAAAAGTTTCGAATATTTTTAATAAAAAAATTTTAATGTTATTTAGTTTAATTTCAATTTAATATTTCTAATGTTCATAGAGTATATATTTATTGAAGTTTTGGGTCCCATCGAAGGCACTGACTATGTTCAGATCATATTGCTCTTTTATTTTATATCTTTATAAATAAATTTTGTTAAATTTTTACTTTAATTAAGTTATTCTATTTTATTTAATTTTTTATATGTTATATATTATATTGCTTTTCCATTCTATTTTTTTTAAATTGTTTGTTTTTTTATATAATCTTATTTCATTTATATATACATGATTTAATCTTTAAAGTCAATTATGTTGAAAGAAACCTGTTTCTTAACAGAAGTTAGAACATAGAAGCCAATTTCGGCTATTGGTCAGTTGACAATGACTCTGAGCTTTTTGGGAGTGTACAAGTTCAATCCTTGATACTTGCACGTTCTAACAATAACTTAAGAATCATTAACTATACAAAACTATTTCCTAAAAACCACTGCTAATAGGTGTTTGGTAATTTTCCAAACAGTAACTGAAGAAAGTTCAGATATCGTTATTTTTATTTACTGCCTACTGCATGAAGTATTTTTCTAATATATTTTATTTTATTTCGTTTTAATAAACTTTATTTTAAAATATTTTATTTTATTTGTTTTATTTTATATATATTTATTTTATTTTAATTTATTATATTTTATTGTTTTTGAATTAGGCTACTTTGTTTATCCTTTTTTGTTTTGTTTTATTTTTATTTGTATAATTTTATTTTCTTTGATTTAATGTTTTGTTTAACTTATTTTTTTTTTATATTTAAATTTTGCCGGGCTTTAGGTAATGTTTTTAAAAATCATATTTTCATATAATAACTTATACAATATCATGACAAACTTAAGATTAAATAAAAAATAACACAGTTATTATGTATATATTTTTATTTAACAGAAATTTCCATGAATTATATATATTTCTGAATATAAATAAAAACATAAACTTAACAACTGTGATATTTTTTATTTAAACTTATGTTCGTTTTTATATAATATAAGTTATTTTAAAGAAAAATATTTTTTAAAAAGACGACCTAAAACCCAGCAAAATTTATTTTATTTTCTTAATTTCATTTTGATTAATTTTATTTTGTTTATTTTAGTTTAATATATATTTTTATATGCTATTTTACTTAATTTTAACATATTTGATTTTATACAAATTTTAAATTAAAATTATTTTATCTTACTTTAGTTTATTTTATCATTTTAATTAAGGTTACTTTATTTATTTTTATTAAATTTTATTTAATTTGAAAATACTATGTTTTATTTAATTTTAATTAAACTTATTAAATTTTTAATTAAATTTTCTTTTCTTTTTTTTTATTTTATTATATTTTATTCATATTTATTTTAATTTGATTATTTTACTTTTATATATTAACTTACAGTTCAAGTTTCTGTTTTTAATTTTACTATTTTATGTTTAATCTTTGTTTCATTTTGTATTAATTTGATAATAACTTTATTATTCTTTATTCTATTTTATTTGATTTTAATATTCTTAATATAATCAGTATACGTATAGTTCATTTCGTTTTGAATTCTTTTATAGCATTTTAATTTATGTATTGTTTTTTATTACTTTGAATTTCAATATATCTTACTTTAATTCAAATCTCATTTTATATAATTTTAATATATATATTTTCTTTTATTTTTCTTATATTGATTACATTTTATATTATTTAGTTTTATTTTATATCAGTTTTTATTTAATATATTATATATATATATTAAATATATATATTTATTTAATTTCATTTTCTTTAGTTCTATATTATTATGTTTTTTTCTCATTAATCTCATTTTGTATTGTTTAGTTTTATTTTATTTCTATTTAATATAAATTATTTTAATATATTTTCTACTAGGTTTTTTACGTTAGTTTAATTTACTTTATTTATTTTTTTTTTTATTTTTATTTAATAGTTTCTGTTTATAGCATTTTGATTTAATTTACTTAATTTCCGTATATTTTATTTGTTTTTGTTAAATTCTATAACTATTACTACAAATTTAAAACCCAATTAGTTGGTGTTTTGTACGAACTAAGTTAGTGGTGTCTAAAATTGGTCTACAATTGGTTCAGTATTGTTTTAATATTTACAATATTTTTTTTGAATTTTAAGACTTGTTATGTTTCTAATATATTTCAACATGAAAATACTAAAATTTTAATATTTTCATACATATATAAATATTTTTAAAATAAAACACTTGACGCGTTTCCGAGAAAGTTGGTCTGAAGTCAAATATTATCACTTGAAATCACATCAACAAAAGTATCACATTAAAGAGAGTTTGACTCAATAAGAAGAAAATCAATATTTGCAATGAAATAAAGAAATGTGAACACAGAAAAAAAAACAAAAATGTAGAGAAAAAATTGTATAAGTGTCGAAAGTGAAAGATAAACAGTAAAAGCCAACTGAAAAGGAATCAGCATGCATAACGACCTAAAGGACGAAAAAAAAACAAGGATGTTAGAAATAAAGTGCTACAGCAACGCACTCAATATGGCAGCAGGCATTTCATGTGTTCGCACATAAAGCAGCAACAACTCCGAATATTGTCGTAAAAGTATAAAAACATTTGGACTTGTAGATACTTAGTTGCACTTGTGAAACTTCAAGCCAACAACAATGACATAACTCGAAGGAAGAACAGCTGATGCAGCCAACTGCTCCAACGCCAACCCCAACCCCATCCGCACCGACTCCCACAACATACATAAGTAGTTTAAAAAGGTAATCGCACTTTGTTGTGTATGAAGGAATAATATTTTGCAAAATATTTTTGTTATTTTTTTATATTTTTTTCTTATTCGTTTTTGTTTTTGTTTTTGTTTTTCTTTTGCCTTTTTGAGATTTGTTTTTGTTTCTTTTGTTTTTGACTTTTCAAAGGACATTCACTTACCTGGCTTAGTGCTGGATAAGATTTGTTGTTGCTGCTGTTGTGAGTGTTGGGACTGTTGCTGATTTGGCGGCAGTTGTTGCTGTTGCTGCGTCTGTGGATGTTGCCCGTTTAACTGCAAATGCGGCGGCGGCTGCTGCTGTTGTTGCTGCTGTGCAGCTGCCGGGTGAATGGCAAGCAATTTAGTTTCGGGAGGCTTATGGGGGCCCACTGTTATCTGCGGGGCCCCCATAGCTATAGTGGGCGCTGGCATCATAAGTGTTGACATGGCCAGCATAATTTGCGAATGAATTTTGAAATATTTTTCTATGTCTCTGTCTGGGCTTGTTGCTGTTTTTATTTTACTCTTTTGCTCTTTTGCAATTTTGCACTTCGATTGTTGCAGTTAAACTGTTGATGTTTTTGTTTTTTGTATATAGGAAAGATTGATTTATATTTTTATTTTATTTTTGTCTAATATTTAAACTTAAATTTTGTTTATAATGAATTTATGAACTTGATAATTAATGGATACTTTGATGTTTATTTAATATAGTTGTTCTATTGGAAATAACTCCAGCAGCTTGATTATATGAGAGCTATTAAAATACACTAATATTGAGTATAACTTTAATATTAGCTGATATATATATCAAAAGAATTTTCAAATAAACCAAAACCGTGTTAAAATAATAAAAGATATAATTAATTTTATTAAAAACTAAAGTAGAAGTCATAGAGAATTTTTGAAGTCTTAGAAAATATAATTAAAAAAATGCAGATTTTTTTTTTGGAAAGAGCTGCGAAGAAAATTTATTAATATTTTAGTATAATTAAATTTATTTGTAAGAAAACTATTGAAATTAATATTAATATTCTGAAAGTTCATAATATTGGCTATTCCGGTATTGAAGTTGAAATGGAACTTGTCTTTAAAATATTTTGTACTTAATGTTTAA